GACTATGGCGGCCACTGTGATGCCAAAGCACTCGTAGTTGCTCAGCAGGTAGCCGCTCTTGACGCCGCCTGATGGGATGGTGAACAAGAGCAGAGCAAAGCAGGGTATATAGAAACAGGGATACAGACTGATGCATGAAAGTGCTTCTAACGAGTTTGAATGTTGAAGCTCATTGACCGCATTCATGAGTCTGATGAAGTCAAACAGCTGCTGCTTCATTATTGCCACTTGTGGTTAAAGTCACTGCATACATTTTATTTATATCCATATGGTATCAATTATAAATTAGCATATGATCTCTTTCTAAGGGCTAGCTGCACTGGTTCAGCTCGGCTGTGGGGTGGGGTGTACCCTGCATGCTTTAGCTCCTAATTGCTGTGCTGTAGAATCGTTTTTTTATGTCGGTAAAACAGTTCCTATAGCAGTGTAGATTGTGCACTGTAGAAGCTGTAGCTATAGTACCTGTAGCGGCATAGATGGTGTACTGTAGCAGCTGCACCCCGCCAAAGGAGAGCGACCCAATGCACACGGAGATCCCAAGGAACTCCAACCACCCCTGAGGGGCCAACCGGGGGGGAAGGGGGGGGGGGTTGCAGCCTTTGAATATTCTGCCTGTAGCACTTTGGTTGTGGGACAATGAAAGACAAGGTGCACCCCGCCAAAGGAGAGCGACCCAATGCACAGCACACGGAGATCCCAAGGAACTCCAACCATCCCTGAGAGCGCAAGCAGAGGGTGGGATTGTCTGCCTCGAGCACTCTGGCTGTAGCAGTTGAAACTGTGAGAATTTCCAAGGCTGGGTGCACAGCATCGAATGAGAGCGATCCAATGCACACGGCGATCCCAAGGAACTCCAGCCACCCCTGAGGAGAGCAAGCAGTAGGGGGCATTTGAGGTCAGACAGACGCAGCAGGCAAGTCGAGGCAGCTGCGACAGACTCTTGGGTCGGCTCAAAAGTCATCTCATTACCATGTTCCAGCTAAGATGCAACAGCCAAGCCAAGTCAGCTGCGAAGGAACAGGGGGAGCGCAACGAAGAGCACCCCAACAGAGCCGATAGGTAGCAGCCGATAGTAGAGAAGAAGTAGCCAACAGTTTGCATCGGCCCAAGATTACCAAATGAGCAGCAAGGGAATGGAAGGTTGGGCCTAAAACAACCCAGGATGGGAGGAGGGAGAGTGGGGCCTTATGTTATAGCAACCCTGGCGTTGGAAGAAGGGAGGCTTCCAGCGATCCACAGTGAGGAAAAGGGAGGAGGGGAGAGGGTGAGAGGGAGTCTCGCAGTGATGCAGACACGCAGGAGGGTATGGGAGGGAAGAGCGGAGGAGGGAGTCTCACAGTGATCCATGCTGCAAATGGGCCGTGCTTTGGCCCAGCTAGAGCCGCCGCCCAGAAATAAAGCGACCCAGAGATCTGATTGCGGGAGGGAAGGGGGACGGGGGAGTAAGGGGGAGTGAGGGAGGGGGGCTGGTGGAGGTGCCCATTGATGGAGTGGAAGTTGTACGGAATGGATCGTACATAACGGCGATGACTGGCATCAATTGGAACGCAGGGACAGAAGGGAGGCGGGCGACAGAGAGGGTGGTTGTACGGGGGGAGGGGCGAGGGAGATGGGATGCCAGTGCTTCTGCGCAGAGGAGGACGCCCATTCACAAAAGAAACGACTTTTGCGTCTCAAAACGACTCAAAAGGCTTCTGCGCAGAGGAGGACGCACAGTCACAAAGGAAACGGAGAAAAGCACGGAGAGATGGAGCTGAAAGGGAGGGTTTGAGAGCAGAGGAACGTACGGGGAAGGACGGAACGCTTTCAGCAGCACGTACGGGGAAGGCGGAGGAGATTTCAGCGAAGGAGAGAGCAACGAGGTGAGTGAAGAAGACAGTGATCCACCAGTACCACACCAGGGCCACGGGGCCTCCGTTCAAGTAGGTCATTCTTGAAAAGGACAGAGAGGGAGAGAGGGGAGGGGTGACGGAGGAAGAGAGGGGCCAGCAGTGGAGAGAGATGAAAAGAGTACGAGCCAGAAAGCCAGGAAAAACAGGGGGGCTTGAGAGACAGCAGGAGGAGGCACGGGTGGACTTCTCGAGTTTACTTAGAAAACACGCAAGCGAAAAGATGCAAAGTTGTTGTTATGGGTACTCCTACTACATGGCACATTAGAGGAGGCAGCGCATGGGGGAAGGTGGTATTTGGGGAAGACAGAGGCTGCATATGGGGGAGGTGGAGGGAGGGGTGCTTACGAGTAGTAGGGCACTGTTCCGGCGTAGAAGGTGACTATAGAGAGGCCGATGGAGAAGACCTCAAAGAAGCTCTGCAGAAGGGGGATGCAGGGGGGAGTGGGGGGGAGTGGGGGGAGGGGGAGGTATATCACTAGACTGGCCACATCACTAGACTGGCCATATCACTAGACTGGCCATATCACTAGACTGGCCATATCACTAGACTAGCCATATCACTAGACTGGCCATATCACTAGACTGGCCATATCACTAGACTGGCCATATCACTAGACTGGCCATATCACTAGACTGGCCATATCACTAGACTAGCCATATCACTAGACTGGCCATATCACTAGACTGGCCATATCACTAGACTGGCCATATCACTAGACTGGCCATATCACTAGACTGGCCATATCACTAGACTGGCCATATCACTAGACTGGCCATATCACTAGACTGGCCATATCACTAGACTGGCCATATCACTAGACTGGCCATATCACTAGACACAAGGGACAGATTCTTCTAGGGGGATCGCAGGCGAAATGTCCAAGAGCGACTGAAAAGCGCATCCATGAATTTAGCGAAAAGACACTAGACTGGACAATGTATAGTTTTGAGGCACCTCAAAACTAGACGGGCAATTAATTTGGGGTATGCACTCCTTTTTAGCCTCGTCCTACCTTTGTTTGTGCAATTAATATAATTCGAATGTCTTACCAGCCCACATATAGCCGCTAGCCCAAGCGTCGGTTACAATCTGTGGGCTTCCCAAGCCCAACAGCGCGCCAATTCCTTCTACAATCAGGTACAGTACAGTCCGATGGCGGTAGCACCAAACTCCACCCGCCCTAAGGGCGTGTGGCAAGTAGAAGTCGAAACGATGGGACCGGGCCGGAGGTCAGGTACAATGAGGTACCGTGTGATTTTGTATCGTTTCAAAACAATTTATGAGAGGTACAGAGGTAAACGACCGGACGATAGGAGCGGAGGGTCTCTCCGACAGTACTTGCCACACGCCCTAAGCTCCGCCGCACTCACCAAGTGCCGCCTTAGCTCCTGCTTGTATCCCAGCTCGTTAAGAAGCCTCTCGCCAGAGTCAACCTCCACCGTCATATGGAGTCCGTCCTCCAGCATAATCTCCAACGTCTGCTTCCCGCCTTCCGCGTTCAGCCCGGTTAAATTTCCCCGCATCGATCCGTCCCGCTCCCCCCTCTCCTCGCCGCACAATGCGCCGCCATCGACGCCGGCACTCGCAGTGCGGCCATGACCGTTTCCGGGGTCGACGCGCCAGCTCCCGGAATTCCCGGCGCCGGGGCTGCCGAACCCGCCCGCGCCGGCGTGAATCACGGCGGAGCCTTCTCCGCTCCCCGCCCGCCATTCCCCGCTCTCAGTCGCGCCAACGCTTCCCGGGCCGCCGCCGCTGGCGACGCTGTCGGCATTTCCGGGGCCGGCGGCGGCGGCGTTGGTAGTGGGCGCGACCACCTGCCACGAGTCAGCGGCTGCGACGAGGTCGAAACTTTCGCGAGGCGCCGCGCTTTCGTCGTTACTGTCGTTCGCGACGCCTCGCGAAATCGCATCGCCGGCGAGGCCGCCGCTCGTGGATGGAGGAGATATTTGCTTCTTTCTGAAAGGCATTGCGTATTGCTGCTACTAGTACTAAACAGAAACCTTGTAGCGAAGCAAATGTCTGGGTTGGGAGCTGAAAGGGATTCAATAAAAGCGTAAAAACGCGAGTTGGCACGCTGTCTTTGAAATCTTATCTGCCTGCCTCGACGCCCAACGCCCAATAAGTGTCGTATCACTCAAATAACACTTCGCTAGACTACGCAGTCCCTTTCAGCTGCTCTACGCGTGTGTCTGGCGTTCTCGAACCATCTGTTCGCGAGCCTGCTCAGTGCTCACTAAGTTAAACCAAAGCAAGAAGTCGGGTCAAGGTGGTCCTCGTCATTCCAGGATAAACGAAGGAATTTCAGCCGTGCGAACCACTGAATGTACGCCTGACGAAGCTTCATTTTTCGTAATCCTGTTACCAGATGCTGCAATTTGTGATCGCTCCACGAGCACTAGATTTCGCCCGGACAGTCCCACTGATACACTGCCCTTTATTTCACTTGTGCGGGATGCAAGTGCCACTCCTAAATTCGATTCATTTCGGCTTCATTTTGGTGGTCCGGAAAAAACTTCTGCGTGTAAAGCTGTGAACATGGGGCAGAGAGGGCAACAAATTATGGCGGATAGGGCATGACAAACAGTGCGGTACCCGTGGGAAAGACAGGCCGCATGATCCCATAGGGCGACAGTGCAGCCCCACTCAGAGTCATCATTACAAGAGCAGATTTGCAGATCGAGTGGACAGCGATTTTTCTCTGGATTTTCACCCCCAGAATTTTCACGGGACCGCTATTGTATCGTTTCGAGAGCGGATCTTCCCAAGCTCCAGGAACAACCCGTTCCATATCCCGAATCCAGGTTACAGAGAGTTGATGATTCTCCATTGTAGGATCAGCAACTAGCACACCCTATTGAGAGGAATAACATCTGCGTACCCAAAAACGGTCAGGGTGGCGAGAACCCGGCAGGCTCTGTGAGTCCTGCGTTTCCCGCGCTGGAGATAAGCCACCTGGGCAGACGTGGTTGCAAATGGTGGCGTATCTCCGAGCAACAATCAAACGACAAGGGAAAACACCAGCGCAACTGGCCTGGTCCTGTTTCTGGCTCAAACTGTAATGTGGCTTCTAACAACCTGTGATTCAGTAGGACCAATTGTATTTCCAAAACCGTCATGTAGCAGAAGGGGTATAAACGAAGAATATGCAACTGTAATGACGAAGTTACAGCAATATTCAATCCAATTGCTTATATATAATGATGAAATGGGGTGGAAAACACACAGCCCATATCGCCATCTCATGCTTCTTTCAAACGCTTTGACCCCGTACCCTCCCCCTTTCTATCCTCACCATGCTCCGGTTGTTCCTTCACCACACGCACTACTTGCTTCCCTTCATCCCCAACACCTGATGGAGTGAGCAGGCAAGAAAGGACGACAATGAGACGCCAGAATGTGAAAGAACTATTGATGTCCGCATGGAGTAGGAAGGGCAGCCGTAGAGACATTACAATGATGTGGCAAAAAACAAGATGCACACATCTCCATGCGCAGCAGTGTTGTATGTGTGTCATATAACGATTCTCAGAGTGTGCTTCAGCTCGCCAGTCATGTTGGCAGGCACACACTATAATGTGCATCAAGACACAAATCTCACCAGTCATGTTAGCAGGGACACATCGGAGGAAGACAATCGGCAGCAGCGTGCAAAAGGCCTGTATCGTTACGCCAAGTGTCAGGTTGTCGAATGACGTGGCGGTGATGCCGAGCTCCGTGGCGAGAGTGGCGCCCATGTAACCGCTGAGCGTGTTACCAAAGTTGTACGCTGACATGAAGAGGGCAAAAAGCGTGCCCTCTATTCCAGGGGGGCACAGGCGGGCCGAGAGGACGAGGAACGGCATGAACCTGGATGAGAGGTGATGGGTTGTAAGGAGGGAGACGAATGGAGGAAAAGTATGCAGAGATGAAGAGGGAAAATAGCGTTACTCAGGACCAGGGGGGCACAGGCGGGCCGACTCGGACGAGGAATGGCACGAACCTGATAGGGCGGGGAAGGGTGTGGCGGGGGGGGGGGAATGGAGGTATGGGTGGGGTTTTGGGTGGAGCGGAGTGGAGGGGCCGTACAGGACGAGTGGCAGGAACCTCTCAGGGGCGGGGGGGAGTTTGGAGGGGAGGGGTTCCAAGGGCTGTGTGTGGAGGTGAGGCGCAAACATGAGCTGTGCGTGGAAAAACTACTCCCTCCCCTCTCCTGTCCACCCTCGTTGAATCAACTTATCTTAATAAAATACCCCTGCTTTTTGTGAATCGCTTGAACTGGTTCATCGCATCGGACAAAGCACCGGATCCCAGCAGGAAGATAGAGTCAGGGATGGCAGTGAATCCCTTTGGTATAATTTCTACTCTCAGGACTCACTTGAATTGGTCCACGGTATCGGACACAGCAGCGGAGCCCAGCAGGAACACAGGGTCGGGTACCACGTGTCCCCCCCTCTCCTTTCTATCCCCATGGCCTCAACTCACACTCCTCCCTTCCACGAGACTCACTTGAACTGATTGACAGCATCGGACACAGCAGCGGAGCCCAGCAGGAACACAGGGTCGGGGATACCAAGCCTCAGGTTGAGGCGGGAGGTGAGGAGAGTGTCGGCAATCGTGCACAGCGCCATCAGAATGTGCACCCACCTGCAGCAACAAGTGCGAGCACGGGTATACAGGCACGGGATTAAGTTTTAGGGAGCAGGGGAACGGTTAAGAGTTTGCATGGGTAAGAAAGAGTCTCAGGATCAGGCGGGGGGTGAGGAGGGTGTCGGTGCACAGCACCATGAGAATGTGCACCCACCTCTGACCAGCAGGTGGGGTTTAGAGTGTGCGAGCATGGGTTTCGGGTTAAGGGAGTGTGAAGATGGTTTTGGGTTTTGCATGGGAAAGTAAGAGCCTAAGGTTGAGGGGTATGCGTGACTGTACACAACCATGAGCTAAGGTGGCTACGTGCACCCATCTATTCATGGAAGGTTTAGGGTTTAAGGTGTAGGGATGGGGGCCGTCGGGTGGTCGAGAAGAGCATCGAGCATGAGCCCCACGGACCTCCAACCATTGAACTCGAGCCGGAGATGCCTTACATGAAGACTCGCCGAATCGGGACGTATTCGAGGCGATTGCTGCAGAGGAGAGTGCCCAGCAGCACGAGCCCCACCCAAGATAACCTTGTGGTAGATCATGTAACGGAGGGTAGAGGAGGTGGTGGTTGGTGTGCTGTGCACTCACATGAAGATTCGTCGAATCGGGACGTATTTGAGGCGGGTATTATACAGCAGGGTCCCCAGCATGAGCCCTGCCCAGCCGACGACCTTGGTGGAGCCAAGGAAGGAGGGGTCGAGGTGCAGGTGGTTGGTGTGGAAGTAGAAGAGCGAGGAGGAGAGCGTGGGGACGACTGCACATGATGCCATGAACCACGCCATGGGCCTGGGGGGGGGGAGAGGGGTAAGGGAGTAAGAAGGGGGATAACGGGTGCTGAGGTGATCAGAACAAAGGGGATGGTCAAGCAGGGGATACCGCAGGTGAGCAGCCTGCAAGGTGCACATAAGCGGCATTTAAACAGTAACTCAGCTGAATAGTAGCCACTAGCAGAGCCACTAGCAGAGCCCCTATCAAAGCCACTAGCAGAGCCCCTAGCAGAGCCCCTAGCAGAGCCACTAGCAGAGGCACGATCGGAGCCCCTAGCAGAGCATCAAGGGCACGGGACCTCAGAGGATCACTCGCCAGCAGATGTCAGGAGACCTGACAGCACGCCACAGAGACAAGCCACACAGCATGGAGGGCATGGAACCACGCAATAGCTCACTAGACGATGTCAGGAGGAGATCTGACAGCACAGCATGCCACAGAGCCGCCGCCACCAGATGTACTCCCTTCCTCCACAACCCCAGTCCCCACCTTCCCCGCCTTCCCCCTCTTCCTCACAACAGGACAGGCCAAAAAACATATTCCCGGAATAACTAATGGGATAGCTCACCAGAAGATGTCAGGAGACATGACAGCGCGCCACAGAGCCATTACCACATGCACCACCTTCCTCCACAACCCCGGTGCTCGCCTTCCCCGCCTTCCCCCTTGACTCCTCTTCTGCTCCTCTGCTCCCGCTCCCTTCCCGTCCTCACTCGTTTCCTTCTGGCCCCCACCACCACCTCTCCTCTGTCTCAGCCCAACGCTCCTCCCTTCTGCCTCACCACTCCCAGCACCCCTCTTCTTCACTCCTCCCTCCTCCCCTGCACCGAAACCCAGGCCACCATTCCTATGTGTCTCACTCTGCGTCCCCTCCCCATCTCCTCCCCTCCATAGCCTTCCCCCCCCCCCTCCTCCTCTTCTGTACACGAAGACACCTTCGTTTCTTTAGCTGCATCGTTTAGAGGCGCCTGAGAACCAGCCTCCGTCAGATGAGCAGTACCCCTTTCTCGACCTGCTCGGTCCTGAGGGTCCGACTCCACTTCCTCCCATTCCTCCAACCCAATGCTCTCCTCGCTCTTGCTGTCCCCTTGCTGCTGACTTGTAATGGCACTATGAGTGGGAAAACTCTCCTCTTGTTGCCTGGCCTCACCAGCAGTTGCTACAGCCTTCTCTCTGTCTCCAAACCCAGTCTCTTCTGCCCCCTTCACTCCAATATTCGCCTTCCCAGCCAGACCTAGGCATTCGCCCGCCTCCTTCCCACCCTTCTCTCTCCCCCCTCCCTCCTCCACCTCCTCCTCCTCTCCTTCTTGTTCCTCCTCCTCCACTCCCTCCTCTGCCTCGACTCCTTCCTCTCCCTCCTCCTGCTCCTCCTCTTCACTCCCAGTCCCCCCTAGGAGTTTCCTCTCAGACGAGACGAGGCACATGGCGAGCTGAGACAGCGGGAAGAAGGCGAAGAGGGCGAACATGCCGTGCGGCCGCAGCGTCTTTAAAGCCGGGCCGCCTAGGAGACTCCCCACCACACCGCCAGCAGCCATGGAGAACCACGATAGGGATTGCAGGTCGCCTGCGTACCTCTCTCTGCGAACAGGCGAGAAGGGGGGGGAGGGGGGAATTAAGAACAAGCTGAGACAGCGGGAAGAGGCGAAGAGGGCACCATGAGAGTGACTGCAGATCGCCTGCGTACCTTTCTCTGCACCACACAGCAGAGATAAATAGATTATAGCGGAACGAGGAACTAGATACATGGATGCCTCTGCCATCATTGCGTCGATCACCGCGCCAACCATAACTGCCCCCACGTTCTGCAGCACCAGCAGCAGCGTGAAGGGTGCGAGGGAGGCGGCGCCGCGGCAGCACACCTAGAGCACTCACCATATCAGTGTGAGTTCCATGGTATATATCATACCCACCATTTTAGACCACTCACTTCACTTGTCTCCCGTGGCTGTTCCAGCCAACCTAGCATCAGACACCACGTCAGCCATGGCGGCCCCCACGGTCTGCAGCACGAGAAGCAGTGTGAAGGGCGTCGGGGAGGCGGCAGCACGCCTAGAGTACCACACTCTTCAGTGTCAGTCTACCATACTCACTTGTCTCCTTTTGCAGCTTCCGCCACCATAGCGTCGATCACCACGTCCGCCATGGCTGCCCCCACGTTCTGCAGCACGAGCAGCAGCGTGAAGGGCGCAGGGGAGGCGGCGAGACGAGGGACGAAGGCAAGGGCGAGCCAGGAGAGCAGGGAGAGGGCGTTGGCGATGACTATGTAGGGGATGCGCCGGGCGCCCCGTATAGGCACACAGTCCGATAAAATACTGCACACAGTGGGATGGAGCAGCAGGAGGAGAGGAAGGAGAAACCGAGGGAGGGAGGGAGAGGAGGGAGAAGGCGTTGGCGATGACGATGTAAGGCATGCGACGGGCGCCACTCATAGGCACCCACTCGGATAAGATGCTGGTGGAGACAGTGGGTATGAGGAGGGAAGGGAGAAAGCGAGGGAGGGGGGCGATGATCTTGGGGAGAGACAGCGGATACGAGAGTAAGAGGGCGAAAGAAAGGCGTGGAACCTACCCACAGTGCAGGTTAACGCTCAGATTAACGCTCAGGTTAATGCTGAGGCATGTAGGCTGTGCTCTGACGCATGTAGGCTGTGCTCTGACGTATGTAGGCTGTGCTCTGACGCATGTAGGCTGTGCTCTGACGCATGTAGGCTGTGCTCTGACGCATGTAGGCTGTGCTCTGACGGATGTAGGCTGTGCTCTGACGCATGTAGGCTGTGCTCTGACGGATGTAGGCTGTGCTCTGACGCATGTAGGCTGTGCTCTGACGCATGTAGGCTGTGCTCTGACGCATGTAGGCTGTGCTCTGACGCATGTAGGCTGTGCTCTGACGCATGTAGGCTGTGCTCTGAAGAATGTAGGCTGTGCTCTGACGCATGTAGGCTGTGCTCTGACGCATGTAGGCTGTGCTCTGACGCATGTAGGCTGTGCTCTGACGCATGTAGGCTGTGCTCTGACGCATGTAGGCTGTGCTCTGACGCATGTAGGCTGTGCTCTGACGCATGTAGGCTGTGCTCTGACGCATGTAGGCTGTGCTCTGAAGAATGTAGGCTGTGCTCTGACGCATGTAGGCTGTGCTCTGACGCATGTAGGCTGTGCTCTGACGCATGTAGGCTGTGCTCTGAGGCATGTACGCAGTGGAGGGCATGAGCTGCCGCGAAAGTCAATACAGAGAGCGTCACACTCACCCATAGAGCGGCTTGACACTCCACGGCATGTAGCCGTAGAGGTCATGAGCTGCGTTGCTAAACCATCCCAACAGGCACACACAGAGAGCTTCACACTCACCCATAGAGGGGCTTAACGCCCCACGACATGTAGGCCGTGGAGGTCATGAGCTGCCTTTGAACCAAGTTACATGAATGAACTGTACTCACCCATAAAACGGCGTCACACGCCACAGAATGTAGGCAGTGGAGGTCAACCACACAGGGCCGTCGCACTCACACTCACCCATAGAGGGGCTTAACGCTCCACGGCATGTAGGCCGTGGAGGTCATGAGCTGCGCTGCTGCTGGCCCCAGCTTGAGCTGGTCCTTCACCAGAATGCTGATGGCCGTCCAGGGGAAGGCGCGGAAGCCCTGAGGGGAGAAGTGGGGTGAAGATGGGTGAAGAACGGTGAGTATGTGAATTCAAGGGAGGTCGCGGAGGACAAGGGACGGGCCCAACTTGAGCTGGACCTTCGCCAGTATGCTGATGGCCTTCCAGGGAAAAGGGAGCGGACGAGGGGTGAAGAACGATGAAAATATGGGTGAGAAGGTTAGGGAGACGCAGAGAGAAAGGAGGAGCCGCTTGAGATGATCCTTCACCAAGTTGTTGATGGCCGTCTCAAAACCAGTCAGGATCTGTCAAAACCCGTCAAGAACCGTCTTAAAGCCCGCGTGACGTCTCACCTGCGCCCAGTAGATGCTGAAGACGAGGACGAGGAACGGCGTGCCGAAGCATCGCCGCAGCGAGTTGAGCCACGAGACGAGGAGCATGGCGGAGCACAGCCGAAGATCTGAGGAGCCAGCGGTGGAGATCGACGGCTAAGATGAGCGCGTGAATAGGAGGCCTTGTGGACGAAGTGTCGGCCGTCAAATGGGGTGGTGAGGGGTCAAGTGCGATGATGAGAGCGGTCACGTCTTTTCTCCGCGATATGTCAGGCCTGGGCTCCTCAAATCCTCCCAGATTCAGCTCCAGTCGGCTCGAGCATCATCCATGCGACAATAATCAAATCACGGGGTTCTCGTGCACTAAATAGCTATAGTCAGCGGTCAATGAGGATCGAGCTGCAACAGTCGTTAGTGAATGGTTCTTCCCAAGACCATCTGGTTTGACAAATGGCAACAAGGAGGTTCAAAAGAATTTGGACCTGTGTATGACGAAGTAGGAGGACGCCTTATTCTTAATTAGGGAGGCGGCTCGCTCACGACGTTGTGAAGAGAGAGCGATTTACGCGGCTCACTCCTAGAATCGTGACTAAAAGTCAGACTGAGAACCAGAGAAATGCGTTGCAATCGAATGCGAATGGATTCGCGACCAAGCGACCGAGTGTCCTCGGACGGTCGGCTTCAATCGCAGCCGCATTCACTACATACAGACAGACGTCGCTACCTAGAGACGACTACCTGAGCTTGATTACTTTTTCGAGAAGGCTGAATCGGAGGCTATGAGTTGGTTCCGGAAATTGAAGTTTCAGGGGTGAGTTGAGTTGAGAAGAGAGACTGGAGAGTAGAACCAACCATGCATCTGAAAAACCTAGATTCTGGATCTCTCGTGTCTCGAAGCGTGAGTGGCACACCTCTGTTTGGATCTCGAAAATTCCATTCTGATTGGGTGGAGCAGGTCGGCGGGTGGACCCTAAAACTGATCGCGAAAATCGGTTACCTGACGAGCGACCATCGGCAATGTTCGTCTCCCACGATGAGATTTCGTTTAACTGTCGCACGAACAACCTGACACCCCAGAAATCACTTTTGTTGTTTCCCGCGCATTTTCGTTTGGTCAGCACACCCTTGAGATTGGACTGTCCAGTCAAATCTCGTTTACACGTTCGTTTTCAAGTCACTTAGGTCGGTCTACTCTGGTGCTATACGCTACGCAACGGTGGAAAGCAAAGCTACCGAACCATGCCAGACGAACAGTAAGGGCGTGTTATAAGCATTCACTCTAGAACGGCTGGGTGTTTTTGAGCATAACTGATCGTCTATAACGCCCTAATTGATTGCGACTACCCTGTCACCCACCCATAATTCAGTTCCCTGAACTGGTCTGAAGTCGAGCAGGCTTGTCAGATGCGCAAGCCTTCTCCGCGTTAGCTACGACAGTAATTTCGAATCCCTGGAATAGGAATGTTGACATGGAGTTTCTACGATCGCGATTGCGTCAACGGAAACTTCCGCTGTCGCAACTCGATCTCGCGGAACCTCCAGTTTCGCAAAGCAACGAGCGGGTTACCAGCAGCGTTCGCACACTGAGATTCGCGAGGAATCTGATCCAGAGAATACGATGGCTGTCGTGGCGAAATCTGATTCTCGCATGTTTCGCCACATTTCTCCTTATTTACGTGATCCGCTTGTTCATATGGGATAGCTCCTGGGGATGCGATCGCCTACCAATGGTCTCTGGTATGCAACCCACTTGTATAGCTTCACATCCCCCGGCCACCTAATGATTGCCTATCACCATAACCTTGCATAGCTCCTGGGGATGCGATCCCTACCGATGGCCTCCGGTATGCAACCCACTTGCGTGGTATTCTCGTCCCACGTTTCACCGAACAGAAGCTTATCATCATCTCTCTGCATATCTTTCCACTTCGTCCCTTCCCCTCTCTCCCCTACTTATTGCCCATTCGTCGTTCTCATTTTTTCCCTCCTTTCCTCCCTCCTCTCTCTCATTCCGCTCCCTTCTGCCACTGATAGTTCATGTGTGAATCAATTGATTCTGTTCCTTATCCCTCCTTCCGTCCCTTCTTCCCTCCCCCCCTTCCCCGCCCCACCAACCCCCCAATCCCCCTTCCTTTGCTATCCCCCACACTCTGCCTTTGTTCCAGCGGCCAACTACTGGTGGATTGCGCCCAGGGAGGTCAAATCTACGTCTGTGGGCTGCCTAAACTGTTCAAATCACCGTTATTCCACACCCCCCCTTCCGTGATTCCTCACTCCCCCTTTCGTCCAGCCGCCAACTGCTGGTGGAGCGAGCCCAAGGACGTCAAGGCCCACTTCATCTACGTCTACGAGCTGCCCAGACGTTTCAATGGCGACCTGACGGACCGCCTCACCTCACACCACCTCTCCGACTTCCACTTAGACAGCCTCCTTTTCAGGTCAGTTCCCCTTCCTCTGATTCGCTCTTTGGGCCCACTTCATCTACGGCTACGAGCTGCCCTGACAGTTCAACGACCACCTGTCTGACTGTCTCACCTCGCTGACTTCCATCGTGTTAACCTGCGCCTTAGGTAGGTTAAAGCCCCCATCTCATAACTACTAGAGTTTAACACTTGGTTTGGGAAGGCAGACTTTGATTGGTAGGCAAGGTGAAAACAAAAGGGGCGAAAACGAAACACAGGTGGCGAGGCCCTTTGGTTTCGACAAAACTTCCAAACCAAAAATCAGGTTTGGGCGAAATTGGCTCGCGATAGGGTTTGCACATCCATTTGGTTGGTTGTTTGCATTGGACGGTTTTGAATCCAACTTTTCCGCACAACCTCATTCCACTTCGTTTCCAGCGGTCGTTTTAGACTTCCAGTTGGTGAACCGTCAGATCCGAACTACTAGACGATCTAATGGTCCGACTTCCTTGTTCTTCCGTGAAGTTGCTCTTTCTCATATTTCACTCTGAGTTTTACAGTCGGTCCCCCCACCGAGGCGTTTCCTAGCCCGTCCCTTCAATTCTGCCAGCGTAACTGAGTACCAAGCATTTTACTCTTGGTCGAAACCTAGAATTATGAGAATCGGGCTTTAAAGCCCACATTATGACCTGCCTAAACGAGTGGCCTGTCTGGTCTGACCGCCTCACCTCCCACCGCCTCTCTGACTTCCACGTAGACAAATCCTCTTCAGGTATATGCCTTTTTTCCCCTGCCCCTGCCATCCCTCTCCCTCTCCTCCTCCCCCTCCTCTTCCCCTCCCCCCCAGGGCCCTCCAGCGGTCCAACATCCACCGCACAGTGGACCCCGAGGCCGCCTCGCTCTTCTTCCTCCCCGTGCTGCCCATGCTGCACCTCGCTATGCGCCTCCCGTCCCTCCAACCCCCCTCCCTTACCTTGGCCGCCGCCGCAGCAGGGGCAGGGGCAGGGGCAGGGGCAGGGGAATGGGGGGCAGCAGCAGGGGTTGGAGCAGGGGCAGCAGCCAAGGGGCTTGAGCTGTCGCTGGAGCATTGGGAGGCTTTGTCAGATACTGGGCGCTATGTGGGGGAGGCGCTACTTTATGTGCAGGTGAGAGGGCAAGGAACCGAAGTGTGGTGGAGAAGGGGGAGAAGGAAGAAGGCGGGAGGGAGGGGGGAGGGGAGTAGGGGGAAAAAGGGGGGGAATAGGGGGAAAGGGGGGGGGAGAGTAGGGGGGAAAGAGGGGGGGAGTAGGGGGAAAAGGGGGGAAGAGGGGGGGAGACAGACATGACGTCTGACAAGGCATGGAAAATGCTGGTGGTGGTTTGAGTGCCTGGGGGGCATGTCTGCCTGTTTTGGGTTATGCGTCTATCCATTAAGAGTGTGCAAACCTGCTTGGAACGCCCTAAGCAAAAACCTCAAGCCCTGTGCTGTGCCCCTTCGTTACAGTCACATTACCCCTACTGGCGCCGCAGCGGGGGCAGCGACCACTTCATCATAGCATCACACCCTTTCGGCCGATGCGGGTAATTGTGGGTGGTTTGCCTCGAGGGTTACTTGCAGGTATTGAGGCGGCGCAGAAATTGTGGGCGGGCTGAGGGCTTGAGGGTAACTTGCGGGCATAGGAGCTTACTTGGTAGCGCAGCGAGCATCCTCTGCCCACCTCCCCCTTTCGCCTTGTTGCCACCTTCAAGCATCGTCCTAGTGGTCCCATCACCTCCTCATGTTCCTACAATTGCCTCCTGTTACCCTTTCCTTCCCTCCCCCCCCCCCCCCCCCCCCCCCCCCCCCCGATGTCAGCATTCTCCCCTTTGTGAGCCCCTCTGTGCTCGGCTCTCTCTTCACCCTCCAGCCCTCCGCCTACCCTGACCTCCTCTTCCGCTCCGTCCTCCACCTCAGCCCCTCCGCTGCTGCTGCCAGCAGAATAAGAGCCGCAGCTGCAGCCAGCAGCAAGCACACTGCTTCTACTGCCGCTGCTGCTGCTGCTGCCAGTAGGTTGAGAGCTGCTCTCGGTAGGAAGAAGCAGCAGCAGGGGCAGCAGGAGGAGGGAGAGAGGGCCGAGGGCAATAAGCGGCAGGGGCTAGCAGGGAGAAAGGAGCCGAATAAGCAGCAGGGGCAAAATGGGGAGAGAAGGGGAGGGGGAAGTGGGAGGGGGGGGCAGGAAAGAGGGGGGGGAGAGAGGAGGGGAGGCTTGGGGAGGTTGAAGGGGAGGAAGCAGCCAGAAGCTGTGGAGATTGACGAGGTGCGTGGGGGTGGCATGCGGTGGTGCGAGGTGAGAGGTGATGGCACGAGGTTGTGTCAGTGTGTGCATGATTGCATGACGTGGTGTGGTGACGCCATCATCCCCCCTCCCTCCCCCCTCTCCCCCCCCAATCCCCAACATCCGTTGCATGCCTGTCAGTCAGGGCACGGCATGCACTGTGTCACTCACAGCCTCTGTGCCTCGCATGCACCCACTCCTTCCCAATCCCCCCCCCCTCTCTCCCCAAGACCCCTCACCTGCCCGGAATAGCACAGCATGCTCTGCGCCTCTCATGCGCCCCCGTCAACCCCCCTCTCCCCCCCCTCCTCCCCCGGCAGAGCAGGGCGTGCACTGCGCACTATACAGCCGCTATGCCAGCCATACCATGCCCCCCCCTTTGCTTTCTTCTTCCCTGCCTGCCTGGCAGAGCAGGGCATGCACTGCGCACTATACGGCCACGACGTCGTCATCCCCCCTCTCCTCCCCCTCACCCCCCCCATCCCCCCTGATGTGCGCAACCGCTCCACTCCCGTGCTCGTGCTCCTCGGCCCCCCTGCCTCTCCTTTCCACGCCAAGGGTATCTTGAATGGGGGCCTTTCGAGGCGCCTTTTAGGTGAAGGCATGGGCACGCGATTAGGAGGAGGTGGCAATGGTGATAGGGGTGGTCTTTGGAAAGAGGCAGAAGCAGATGATGCTGTGGCAGCTGGGGAGTCAATTTCTGAGGCGCCTAAGAAATATACAAGGCGTAGCTCAGGTGAAGGCATGGGCACGCGGGGAGGAGGGGGTGGCAATGGTGATAGGGGTGGTCTTTGGAAAGAGGCAGAGGCAGATGATGCTGTGGCAGCTGCGGGCGGAGCAACAGGGGAGGCGGTGGGTGAAGCGGGAGGTTGGAGGGGAAACGTGACGAGGGTTGGTTCCGTTGAGGGGCGAAGGGGGGCCAAAGAGGGCCAAGGGATGGGCGCAGCAGGGATGGGCGCAGCAGGGATGGGCGCAGCAGGGAATCTGATGGGCGAAAGTGGCATGGCAGGGAGTGGCATGGGCGCAGCAGGCATGGGGGGAGCAGGAAGTGGTTTTGACCGGGAGACAGTGCGAGGGGCGTTCATGGAGATGGTGGGAGTGAGCAACCCCAAGGGATGGGCCATGCTGCAGGTGAGAGCGTGGTGGGATGAAGTGAGAGAGCACAGTGCCAAGGTCAGCTGGAACAGTGCGAGGTGAGAGCATGGGGTAGGAGAGCATGGGGTAGGAGAGCATGGGGTAGGAGAGCATGGGGTAACCCCAAGGGATGGGCGATGCTGCAGGTGAGAAGACCAAGAGTGACATACCATTTCCGCAGCAGGAAGTGGTTTTGACTGGGAGGCGGCGCCCAGGGCGTTCAGGGGGGCGGTCCAAGTGAGCAGCCCCGAGGGATGGGCGATGGCTGTGAGAGATGAACCATGGTCTTCTTTCTGCAGGCGTTGCTGAAGTGAGGGATAGGAATCGCATGGGAGATGGTACAGTCGAATAACCCCGAGCCATGCTCATTGGCTGCATTCCGTGTGATCATTATCTAGTTTTGAGACGTTTCAGAACACGTTTATTATCACACATAGCCCCGAGCGATTCTCATTGGCTTCATCCGTGTCGCCCAAGTCCCTCCCATTCTCCCAGCTACCCCCCAATGCCGCCAGGGAGGCCCATCAAGGGCACAGTGTTGCTATGTGTGTCAGCCAGGGAGGGAATGCAGGGCGTGTGTCTGCCAGACGCCAATATGTTCCAATCTTCGTCCTCCCCACTCTCCCAGTTGACCTCCGATGCAGCCAGGGGAGCAATGCAGGGCGCGGTCTTCTGCGTGTGTCTGCCGGATGCCTCTCACCGGCTGGGAGATTATTTGCGTGGCTCAAGCCGTGCTGAGTGGCGTTCCCGTGTCCTCCCCACCCTCCCAGCTAACCCCCGATGCTGCCAGGGAGGAAACGCAGGGCGCGGTTTTCTGTGTGTGTCTGCCGGACGCCTCTCTCTGGCTGGGATCACATGCATCACCCCACCCACCCTTATGCCCCCACCCCCATCCGCCCACTCCTCCAGCTAACCCCCGATGCTGCCAGGGAGGCCATGCAGGATGCAGTGTTCTGCGTGTGTCTGCCGGACGCCTCGCACTGGCTTGAGATCGTGTGCATGGCTCAAGCTGTGCTCAACGGCTGCATCCCAGTCACCTTCTTCCATCACTACCAGCACCCCTGGCTGCACTCTCTACCATTCAGGTATGGCATGGCTGCAGTCCTTGCTGTTCAGGTGCGTCTTGGGCAATCCGTGCCCCTCAGGTGGGGCCTGGACTCAGGTGTCTGGGGTCGTGCTCGCATGTCTCTGGCTGTTCTGTGCTGAGCGGCTGCATCCCAGTCATCTTCTTCCACCGCTACCTGCACCCCTGGCTGCACTCCCTACCATTCAGGTGCGTCACAGACTCAGGTACGCTGGATCTAGGGTTTAGGGCGCCCGATGTGCATGGCTCAAGCTCTGCTGGGTGCCGTGACATTGAAACGAGGTGACTTATGAGTCGACTCAAAAGCTGCCCAATGTGCATGCTCAAGCTGCCCTATCTAGGGTTTAGGCTGCCTGATGTGCATGGCTCAAGCTGCCCTATCTAGGGTTTAGGCTGCCTGATGTGCATGGCTCAAGCTGCCCTATCTAGGGTTTAGGCTGCCCGATGTGCATGGCTCAAGCTGCCCTATCTAGGGCTTAGGCTGCCCGATGTGCATGGCTCAAGCTGCCCTATCTAGGGCTTAGGCTGCCCGATGTGCATGGCTCAAGCTGCCCTATCTAGGGTTTAGGCCGCCTGATGTGCATGGCTCAAGCTGCCCTATCTAGGGTTTAGGCTGCCTGATGTGCATGGCTCAAGCTGCCCTATCTAGGATTTAGGCTGCCCAATGTGCATGGCTCAAGCTGTGCTCAACGGCTGCATCCCAGTCACCTTCTTCCATCACTACCTGCACCCCTGGCTGCACTCTCTACCATTCCGGTGCGTCACAGATTAAGGTATGTTGAATCGAGGGCTCAGGGTGCCCTGTGTGCAAGTTTCACGGTGATTTTTTAGTCGACTCAATAATCACCTACGCATGTCTCACGCTTTCTGGCTGCATCCCAGTCATCTTCTTCCGCCATTACCTGCACCCCTGCCTGCACTCCTTGCCGTTGAGGGCGTGTCGTATAGGGGGAAAAACCTTCAATAACCATCCTCTGGGATGGGAAGGCCAGCCGCTGCCATCACAGAATTGCCAATGCGTGAGATCAGTTGCCATCTCATGGCCACATGCCAATACCCTATCAGCGCTGAATTGGGTTCATGTGGCCAGTGGGTTGGGTTTCCGCTTCGCTCCTAAGCCGAGAATGTCAACTAGCCTTGAGAAGTTCAAGTGGCTGGAGCTGGTTGGCTGACAGACAGCTGCAGTGCCTTCCACTCTCAGCCTCAACCCTATGCACGTTTATGAGGCCGCAATGAGACCAGACGCGATGCTTCTGAACTTCTTTTGAGTCGACTCAAAAGCAGTACCTTCACTCTCAGCCTCAACCCTATGCATGTATATGAGACGGCAATGAGGCCAGACGAGATGCTTCTGAACTTTCTCTTGTCGCTCACGTGCGATGCTAATGTTACCTACCCCACCTTCCCCTTTCAACGCCTTCTCTCTCAACATTGATCCCATGGACATTTTTTAGAGTTCTAAAAAATACCCTGCATACAACAGCAATGAGGCTAGACGTGATGCAGCTGGGCTTGAGCGCCTCCTCTTGTCTTTCTTCCTCCAAACCCCATACACACCCCTCCCTTCAGCGCCTTTACCCGGAATCTCGATCTATGGTTGTGCACGAGGAGCGATGAGGCTCGATGGGATCCTGGCGTGAGCTGATCCCACCCTACCCGCTGTGTGCTTGCACCCGTTTGCTCTCAGCAGCGCCTTCTCTCTCAACGTTGACCCCATGGACGTGCACGAAACAGCCATGAGACTAGATGTCATGGTGCTGGATACGAACGTTTCCCCATGCGTTTATTGCTCCGACCCCCTTATACACCCCCTCCTTGCAGCGCCTTCTCTCTCAACATTGACCCCATGGCCATGCATGCATGAGACAGCCACGAGGCTTGACCTCATGCTCTCTTCATTTCTCCCTTTCCCCGAACCCTGTACACACACCCCTCCTTGCAGCGCCTTCTCTCTCAGCATTGACCCCATGGCGGTGCACGAAACAGCAATGAGGCCAGATGGGACCCTGCGGGGCACAAGTCTTTCCTCATATCTTCCCTGCTTGGACCCCTGACCCCTGAACGTACCCCTCCTCTCAGTGCCTTTTCTCTCAACATTGACCCCATGGACGTGCACGAGACGGCAATGAGGCTCGACGTGATGCTTGTAGATATGAGCCTGCTATGGCGCATGCAGACCGAGCTCCACTCGGTGCAGCAGAGGTTGCTCTATAACGAGTCCGCCCCTATCAGTGCTGTTGACCAGGTGAGTCACTCCTCCAGAGATTGCTCTATAACGAGTCTGTGTTCAGCAGAGTTTGCACTATAACGAGTCTGCTCACCCCCTCGTCTTTCTTTCTCCCATCCCTCCCTCGCATCCTTGCTCCATTTTCTCCATTCCAGTTCTCCTTTTCATTATTCCCTGCCCTCCTTTCCCCTACCCTCGCATGCCTGGTGTGTGCGGATGAGTGTGTGTGTGTGTGTGTGTGTGGGTGTGTGTGTGTGTGTGTGTGTGTGTGTGTGTGTGTGTGTGTGCATGTCTGCGGGTGAGTGTGTCGGTGTGTGTGTGTGTGTGCATGTGTGCGAGTGTGTGTCTGTGTGTCTGTCGCACCTGAGGATTTATTAATTTCATTGGCAACCCCTCCAATGCTGTGTGTAACGGTGCTACCAATGTCACATATGATGGCAGGTTTTTACAGCTCTGCAAAACAAAGCTAGCATGATTGTGTATGGACAACCATTATGGAATACTGAATGATTCTACAACCATATTCCAAGGGCCTTCTGAGATTTTACAACATGTAGAAATCACAAATAGAGCAAGTCGTAGCGTACATTCATCTCCGCAGCAGCACTTGCTGCAATGGCGAACTACTAGCACCCAGAATATACAGGGGGGCTTGAAAGCCACAGCGGGTGTATACACCAGAACAACGGGGTGAAATGGGAAAGAATACACAAGCTTACGCTTGCGTAAAAGGGGGCACTCATGCTCACTTAATCTATCCCCATAGAATACTCTAAAATTATGCACACTACTACACCATCCCAAGTGGTGGAATCCTCTGGAGCCGTCACAAACTGCATCACCTCATATTATAAAGATTTGATTCCATTCTCTTCTCACACACCCTGCTGCTGGGCTCCACCCTTGGCCTCTCTTGGGGCGTCTCAAAAACAGACGCCTGCTGCTGTTAGAGTAGCGGGAAAAGTGTGACTGAGGGAGAATGTAGAGGGATACAAAACTAGGGCCGTACTCGCCAAGAACTAAACTAGCTAGGCTACAAACAAATATGACCTAGCTAATCTATATATAAATATATTTGTTGACACACCCCCTAGCCTAGATAGTGGCAGTTCACAACAAGGTGGAGTACACCAGGGCAGCACTACTAGTCTGGCCTCTGGTGAAGGCAACAAGGCAACTCAGGGCAGCACTACTAGTCTGGCCACTGAGACAAGAGGTCACAAGGCTAGTCAGCAAGTGTAGCAAGGCAAGCAGGTATAGAACAACAAGTACAAGAAGGTATAGTATGACTCATGATACAAGGAGAGGTGCAACTACAGAGACGAGACCAAGCTGAGTACAGAGCTGCTGATGGTCAAGAGACGCAAGTGCCTTGGTAAAGATAACAACGGTGTTGGCCTCTGAGGCCAACAGTACCACTCGAGCCTGGCCGCGCTGTTGCAACTCATGCAGCAGGAAATACCGCAGCTGGATGTGCTTCGCTCTCCCCTCAAGTCGAGCCTCCTTTACATAGGAGAATCATGACCCTGTTGTAAGCAAACACGACTAGGGCAGACCTAGGCTGCTCACCTAAGTCTGTGTGCAAGAACGTCAGCCAACGGAGCTCCTGAGCGGCCATGGCCCCAGCGTAGATTTCTGCCTCACAACTGGACAGAGCTACAGACGACAACCTAGTGGACCTCTACGAGCCTGCACCAGCTCCAAGACTAAAAGCAGTAGCCCTGAGATGACCTGAGCGTCTCTACGTCGTCAGCCCACGATGCGTCTGCTTGTCCAGTGAGCACAAGGCTCCCCTCCTCCAAGCACAAGCCCCAGTCCTGATGTACTCGCCAAATACCACAGAACCCTCTTGGCAGCCGACCAGTGGACTGGTCGGTGCCTGCCTGCCGCAACAAAGCGAGCAAGGAGACTTAGAGGGTACGCTAGATCTGGTCGAGTGCAAGTAATCAGGTACATGACGCACCCCACCAGCTCTGCGTATGGACCACTAGCCTTGACCGGCTCAGCCGGAATAGGTGCAGAGAGCTTGTGATCCACAGGCAGAGGGGTGGGCTGTGCTGAGGAGAACTAGAGACTGAACCTCTTGAGGATCTGCTGCACCATATGGGTCTGGGAGAGTGTGATCGTACGAGCGGCACGGTCACGAGAGATCTCCAAGCCCAGCTGTGACCTCAGCTCTCCCAAGTCTATACAGGTGTGTCTCCTAAGTAACTCGGCCTTCACTGAGGCCAGTGCCACTCTGTCAGGAGTAGCAAAGATAAGATCGTCTACGTACAATAGAATGTACAATGGTGTCTTATCCGTGCGAACAAAGAGTGAGGGGTCAGCAGAGGACGGAAAGAACTGCAGCTCAGCAAGAATGGTGCGAAGCGTGTCGTGCCACTCACAGGGTGCCTGACGAAGGCCGTAGATAGGACGGCGCAGGCTCCACTCGGTCCCAGGTGGGAAGGACCCAGAGAAGCCTAGTGGGTGCCGGAGATAGATCTGCTCGTGCAGGCCACCCTGTAGGAACGCTGTAGAAAAGTCGAGTAAGTGAAGCTTGTACACATCCTGCGCGACTATGTGAAGAAGAACCCGAAGTGTAGTCATCTTCGAGGTTTGGGAGAAGGTATGGAAGAAGTCCAAACCCTCACGCTGGCTGAAGCCTCTAGCCATGTAACGCGCCTTGAATTTCGCCGGCTCTCTAGGTGCGCGCTTCACCCTGTAGATCCACAAGCCATCGACTACGTTCACCTCAGGTGGAGGAAATGCGTCGACGTAAGTGCCTGTGGATCTATAGGATGTTATCTCAGCCTCCATGGCCTGTATCCACAGGGCTGCCCAGGGCCCCGACACCGCCTCAGCGTAAGAGCGCAGAACAGAGATGTCAAGAGCATCTGGGTCGTCTTGTGGGAATACAACCATGGAGCAGAGATGGGGAACAGCGGCAGCAAGGTAGGCCAACTTGTACCGACTGTCCTCGAGCATGTCACTTCCAAGGGTAGGTGCACCCCCGACGGATGGAGGACGGGCAGTACCAGAGACTAGAGCGGCAGCGTAGTCAAGGCGGTGGCTAACAGTAAAGTTAGCGACAGCAGCGACAAGCGCAGAGATAGACTCAGGAGGAGCAGTAGGTCAGTGACAAGCGACACAAGCAGGCGTGAGAGGATTGGACGAGCAGTGCGAGCAACGTCGAAGCGAGGAGGGGGGGACGACGGGAGCGACGACGGGGAAGGCGATGGGAGGACTGTGATTGGAGGAGCACATGAACGAAGGACCATAGGGTGGACACTAGGACAGCGAGAGACAGGACGAGCACCGGAGGGGGGACGGACCCAATGGGGAAGAACTGGAGACTGGGGACGAGGGGGAACAGGGGACAAGTGAGGGGACGGAGGTGAGCGCGAGGGAAAACGAGATGGAGAGGAGTCCAGAGGAGGGAATAACGGGCCATAAACAGGGTCACGCACCGTAGGGGGAATGGGTGGGCAGTTAGGGGAACCTGGAGAAGGACCAAGGAGATGAAGGGCAGACTGCAGCTGCTCTTGCTATAGCGGTTGCGCCTGGTGCTGCAGCTGCTGCGGCTGCAACTGCTTCCCGTCCTCTCCAGGACCTCCAGCGGCACCGCGGCTGCCTCCGGCACTCCCCGAAATAGCACCCCCAAGACTAGCACCCTCAGATGCAGCACTCCCGAAGTCAGCACCCATAGAACTCGCACTCCCAGAACTAGCACCTCCAGAGTCAGCACCCCCAAAACTCGCACCCCCATAACTAGCACCCCCAACACCAACTCCACCAACACCAGCACCCCCAACACCAACACCGCCAACACCAACACCCCCATAACCGGCACCCCCAGAGCCCACTGCTCCCTGCTGCTACGGCGGTGGGGGGGAACGAGGAGGAGTGAGGGGCACGGTGGAGCCGTCCCTAAATGCAGGGTGTGCACGGCGCCACTAGTGAGGAGGGTAGCGCGGGGAACGACTCTGGGAAACCTAAGACAAGACCATGCTGAGACATGTGACGAAGACGTGTGAGGGCAGGGTGACCTAGACAGTGGTGCCACAGAAGTGTCGGGTGAGTAAGCGACTGACACGAGCAAGCCGCAGCAACATGGGTAGATGCAGACACCTGGGGAGACGTCCCAACCGGGGGGGACGCGGTGTCCAGCGTGAACAGGCCAGTCACCGGGAACCGGGGGAACGTGGTGAGGGGAGCACCAGTGGCGGCCTTGGTACAGACAGCATACCGCTCGTGACTAGGGAACGTAGTTGTGACGCCAAGGTCCTGGAGGCAGCCGACACCAACTAGGTTACTCGAGAACGAGAGGATGTGCAGGCCTGTAAGGGAGTCCGAAGGAACCGTCGGACAGGGAAGGGAGGTGGAGCTACGGGCGACTACAGGACCTGAGGAAGGGTCTGCAAGGGCAACTGCGGTGGGAGCGGCAAGCGGCGTAAGCGTCGTGGAGTCGCGAAAGAAACACCGGGATGCGCCAGAGTCAAGGGTGAAGGAGAGCGCGGCAGGGTTCAGAGGAGCGAGGGTGGAGCCAAGGCTAAATAGAGCAGGGGATCCTACGCCTGACGCAGCAGGGGAGTCTGAACTGGGCACACTAGGCACACCTACACTAGGCAACACGGGTAATAGGAACCAGTCACACTAGAGTCATCAATATACAGCACATACAAACCAGAGCCAATCTCATCCATGTCTATATCAAAGATCCTAGGACCACGGCGGAGCAGACTGTGCCAGTTGGGGAGGTCTGGCACTGGGCCGAAGCGGAGACGAAACAGGTCGTCTAGGTGACTGAAATAACGAGTGGGGTTATGGCCAATCGTATCGCACACGAGGCCGCGACGAGGACCGGTCTGGAGGCTGTATTGGCAGCGCCCGTCACTCGGACCACCACCCGACGTCACGCTGAGCGCATGCCTACTGCAACCACCTCCACCACCGACACCAGGCCACCCGGGCGGGAGACGACCGACCCGCCACTGCTGCTGCTGCTGGTCGTGCGGCGGTGCCTGCTGCTGCTGCTGATGGGGCTGCTGCTCCGAGGCATCAGTCCCAGCCCCCTTATCAGTACTACCAGCGGGCGAATCACCTCCACCATCGCCTCCACCCCCTCCTCCGCTACCTCCGCCGCGCCCAGCCTTGGGGCGGTGACCCTTACTCAGACGAAACTGCGCTGCGGCAGCCGCTGCGACTGTCTCCGCAGCAGGGGTAGTCTCAGCGATAGTAGTAGAACCGTCATAGTAAGTGCACAAAATGGGGGCACAGCCCTGAAAGATAGTGACCAGCACAGTACCGCTAGACTGGGTGATAGAGCGGTGACGAGTCTCTATGGTAGACAGGGTGTCGACAAAGTCAGTGAGGGTGAGGTTAGCGGGGTGGAGACTAAGAAAGTGATCGCGGGCGGTAGCAAGGCGGTCCGGGAGGCGGGTGGCAAGGAGGTAGAGGGTAGAGCAGATGGGGGGCTGAAATACACGAAGCTGGGTCTCTGTGCAAGCTGCGCGCCAGGTCGCGTCTAGCGTGCGCAAGTGGGCGGCCAGGTCAGTGATAGTGGAGAAAGACGCAT